CCCCCCCTGCGCCTCCGCCGGACTCGATGGGGTGTCTGGAGCCCGGAGTTGTCCGCAAACTGCAGCGCAGCATCTCGGGGGCTGCGGGGCCGCTGCCAAAGCCCCGCGGGTTGAGGGGCAGCGCAGCGTGAGTGCGGGGGGATGCGGGGGCGGCAGGGCCGGTGCCCGCGCCCCGGGCGGGCGGAACGTGTGGTGTCGGTGTAACAGCGCCGGGATAGTGGATGTATCAACAGAAGGTGTTGACACGGGATTAACCCTTCCCGTCTCCTGCCTTTCAGCATTTTCTCTTACGGCCCGAGCTCAGCCGGAGGCAAATGTTTGAAATTCAGATGAGGAAGGCGTAAATATTTTATTTGGGGAAATGGGTTTTTCGCGTGCCTGTGTGTGCGCGTGTACATACGCAGGGCTCGTGTGTGTAGCTCTCCGTGAAATGTAATGTTACATTTCAAATACCTGTGCTTATTTCGTGGTAGTTTTTATGACAGGGCAGCAGCGTACAGATTTACAATTAGCTGTGCCTAAGTTTGGGCCAGCCCTGTTCTGAAAAAGTGCCGGTTTTTACCTGTAACACTGAGCAGATGTGTACAATGGCACATCTCCTGTCTCGCTGCCGGTACAAATACACGCTGGAAAAGGATAACTGCCTATATTTGGGAAAACGCAACACGCCAAAAAAATCATTATTTAGGTTTTTAATGCGGTCATTCTTACTTAAAACTGCCTCGTAAGGCGTGGAAGATATTACACATTGTTATACTTGATAGATGGGAAAATAATGCAACTTTTATTCTTTTGTACTCATCTCCTGCATGTAACCTTCAAACAGTGCTCACAGTTAGAGAAAGAAGAACAGGAGCGATTCAAAGTAGTCTTTTTAATTTATTTTGTTTTAATCTTGGGCCTAAAATATTTTTTTTTTTAAGTTTTGAAGGGTCCAGCTTCTTTTTCTATTTTCTTCAGAGACATTCAAAGTAAGGAAGGTAATAATTAGATACTTCTGACAGGTGAGCTGTAGTACTCTATGGAGTACTAAATGGAAATTAAGAGAATTGACACAGAAGCCAGCTTCAAATTTTACTTTCTTTTTTAACCCCCAGTCTGGCATTTGTTGTGAATTTCAACTTAAAAGGATATTTTGTTCAGCACTGTCTTAATTTAAGTATAGAGATTTATTTTCAATGTTGAAGATTAGAACAATGGGAAGAAATTGCAGCTTTTATACTTATAATCTTACTGGGAGTCAACTTAAAAGTATTTAATACAGCTATTCAAGTATCCTCTTGTCATTTGTTTTATGCCAGTTAGTTGTAATTTCTTTCTGTAACATGGATTGTTATAAACCTTGAAAAAAATGCTTATTATCTGTATGTATAATTCACTCTCATGAACAAATTAGATTTTTCTTCCATGAGTGAACTATAATATGAAATTTAATGTTCTGACCTTTCTTATGCTGGATTACTAAAAACAGTGTCATTTAGCTTTTCTGAAAGCCCAAGCATATTTTTGTTGTTGGTTTAATGTGTTGTTTTATACTGTTGTTTTTAATTGTGGAAAAAAGTAACATTACACATGTAATTTTCACATCACTTCTTAATATATGCAGACGCTAAAGTTCTTGCTGTGTAAAAGAAAAAGTCTAGTTGTTTGGGTTTTTTCCTGGGAGCTCTGATGGCCAGCGTTCTTGCTAATGACAGTCATTTCTCTGGCAGGAAGATGTTTTCATTTGTATTTACTTTTCAGTGCAGGGCAATTATGCTGCTCTGTGTTGTGCACTCTTCGCAGTTCCTATCTCAAAAGAATTACAGTACTTGGAACAGGACTGTGGTTTGAAGCAGGTGTTGTGTTTTACTGTTATGCAAAATAACACTAAAATATAATGGTGAAGGAAATTAAGGAAACAGCTGCAAACTTGGTGCGGTAACCACTACATTAAGATTTGTGAGCAGTTGTTGCAGCATCTTACATCACGTCCAAGGCAGCAAAGATTTGTTTCAGTAAAGCTCACCTTGCTCCTGAAACTATTGCACTTGTTCTTACTAAGGGGATTAGTGTGGAGACCAGACCATAACCTGAGTTACAAAGATGTACCATCTCACTAGTGACAGTTTGTTAAGCTGGGACTTTATGCTTTAGTTTCATCTTCTTTTATAGTTTTTTCGCTCCATCTAAAGAAGACGTAGGATAGAACCCGGTTACTGGAATGAAGGTTGCAGAATGTCTTAACCCAACTAACATATGGAAGCCTACATAGGCCCGAGGTGGTAAAATAGTAAAATAAATGGCCTATAGCAGGCCATCTGCCATTTGCAGGGCATTTTCATCATGCTTCATGCCAAACTGGAAATTAGTCTTTGTATTAAAAATATATTTTGAATACAAATCAAAGATTTCAAGTATTTCATGTTACACATGGCAAACACATTTCTATTTGGGAAGCTAGAGAGGTCCAGGAAAATCACACTGAAAAACCAGTGTTGATGCTCAGGGCTCAAATCATTCTCTTCTCTTTCCCATCTCTTTGTTCCTCCCAGTAAGCACTGATTTACTTTTGTGAATTACACACCAGACATGGAAAAAACACTATTGCGTGTGGTGGCTAAAGGGAGGGATATCAGCTGATGCCAGGTGTCGTGATTTCATGTCAGTCCTTGCTGGGATAGTGTGTCCCAGCTGAGCATCTGCCTCGTGAGCAGGGCTCTTAAAGAGTTGCTCATCTTGAAAGTGTTCTTCGAACATCAGCTGATCAATTTTCACAGAGTCCCTCTGAAAGGAAGGCAGCTGAGGGATCCTCAGTTTATTGACGGCAGAAATCGAAGCTCAGATTTTGTGCAAGAAGCTCAGCAGAGCAGGTTTGGGAGGTTTCTGGCTATTTGGGTTTTGCTTATATTACGGTGTACATCCAGTCTTGACACAAAATACGTTTAAGAGCACTTTGAAGAAGTGAAAGATAGGGATGCATACGGAGGGAAGAGCCTATTTCTTTCATCTTATTCAGAAATATTTGTGCATAAAATCGCACTTAAATCTGTCAGATAAATCGTTACTGTCTGATGGTGAATCCAAACCAGTTTCATTGCTAGTGCACTATAACATGAATATTTGGCAAACGTTGTCTGGATAATCGCCTTTCTCTGGACAAAAAAATGCTTTGATTTAAAGGCATTTGGGTGTAACTTTAGCTATGCAATTTTAAAATGTTCTTTACATCAGTTTCTTATAAGTCTCTAGATTGTCATTCATGTGGTAAAGCTGCAATAGGGCCTAGAAAACAAGTGTGTATGTTTGTGGAAAGTCGTTTGTCTTTCAGCAAACTGGGTCCACTTGTTAGTTTTTGTGGTTTCAGTTAGCACAAGATATTATTTCAAATAAAGAGTATGAAATGTGGAGTATTTAACAGAAGCTTTAAACTCATATGTTTTATTCCCCCCGCCCCAAGATAAACAAACAAACAAAAAAGTGAACAGTAATGCTTAGAGAGTGGGGTGATGGTTACATAAAAAATATAGAAAAAGGTGTCTAAATAGAAATCCAGAGAGGATAGAGTAATCTGTCTGTGTATGTTTACATCTCCTCATAGCTTATAGCAGTGTGTACTGTCTTTCTCTCCTGGCAGAGGTCACGGAGTTGATGAGGAGCTGCTGGGAATCAGGAGCTGCCTGGACCACAATGCCCTACCCTGCTCCTGGCCTTGGGAAGTTGTGAGCTGCTCATGTCCATAAGGAGGAAGGATGGCTCATGGAATTCCTTCACAAGGCAAAGTTACCATAACAGTGGATGAATACAGCTCCAACCCAACGCAGGCATTTACACACTACAACATCAACCAGAGCAGGTTCCAGCCTCCACATGTGCATATGTGAGTATTCCCGACCTCCCTGCCCGTGTGTCTGTGCGTGTGTCTGCCTGTGCCTGAGACGGAGAACCGCTGCTGAAGGAGTGGGCTGAAAGCTGGGAAATTTGGTTAGTCACATGAGCTAAGAGGCTAAATGCTTGTCAGATTTCTTACCTGGCTGTCTGAGGTTTGAGAAGCCCTGCTCCATCCTCTCCTGGAGGTGACTGCCATCGCCTCTGTGGAACTCCCCTGTGCCGACTGGTGGGGCGAATGTTCTCAAGCTTGTCACTCTACTGATCTTTCTTTTAACTCGCCTGAGGGACCCATTGCTTTAAAAATTAAGCTCCCTTCCCCCCAGCCCTTACACTCAGCTGCGAAATAGGCCTAATTGGGACTAATTGTCCCCCCTGATCAGTGAATCCTTTGTCCTCCTGGTTGCGAGTGGAACGTGTGCCGCATGACACATTCCATTCCACCCGCAACCTGCCGCACAAAGGAGTCGGGGTCTGCCCAGTAGTTCCTCCCAAGAAATACAAATACTCTCTTAAAACAACAGCTCTGGCCCGAACCAACAAGAGCACGGGAAGTGGAGAGCTGAAAGCTCCTTCCCTCACCTTGTTATTCCTGGGTATTGTGTGACCCGGGATCCCTGTGCCGCCCAGCACCTTTGGCACAATGGGCTGCTTGCTTAGCAAAGAGCTAAGTACCAGTTTTAACTCGGAATTTCCTTCCCTTTGTTTAGTTGGGTTTGATCTTTATCGGTTATTTCTGTGAAGGTTCTTTTTCTTTTAGCATTAGTAGACTGAAAAGCACGTGAAACTAAAACAAAGGCGACATCTCTTGACCTCCTGCGAGCCATTGTTAGGCAGGATTTTGAACGATGTCACACTATTGAATTTGATAAGGATTTAGCATAATAAGGGGGGGAAAGTTGTATGGTACTTCATTGCATTTTTGTTATGTAGAAGGCTGCCGGAAGAGTCACAATGTAGGAGTTCAGCACCTTCTAATAGGATTTCATGTGGTTACAATGTTCCTAAAGGCAACTTTGGGAAGGATGCTGAAGAGTGTCTGTCGTGCATGTGGCTGACTTTTCAAGGTGAAAAAAGTTTTCATTAATTACATTTGATTGAAAACGTTTAGACAGCCACACCTCTAATAGATAGTGTATCTCTTAAATTATATTGATTCGATGGATATCTTAAAAGGTACTTTTCTTGTCTGGAAAAACTGTAATTGAAATAAATACTGAAACTACAAAGTTCAGTACAGTGACAGTATTTTAAGTGACAGTATTTTAAATGATTTTTAACTTGAATACTGCAACTTTCTTAAAATCAGTAATTTGATTTCAGGGGAGGGTGTGGCAAACTAAAGGGAGATCAAAATTTAGAAAAATTGGAAATGAATTAGTCTCAGTTTCACAGTGGAAGCAGAGAGAGCAATGTCATAGTGCAGGAGGCGAGTCTGGATTCAGGTGTAGGTCTGGATAACAAATGATGGATTTTAGAAAACCTATTGAGGGGAAAAAAAAAGACAGGGTCCTACCAGGAGGGTAGAGGAAAGCATGGAAGTGAAGACGACTATGGCTGAGGGTTTGTGTGATGGTAACAACAGCTGAATTATTTCTGGGGAGGAGAGCCTGGGTCCTGTGGTAGCTTCAGACAGGGTCTTTATTTGTCTTCTCAGCGTTTTGTAGTGGAAACACTGTGTGTATTTTTGAAAGAGGATGTCATCAAGTGAGAAACCTGAACAGAAAATTGGTAAAAGCAGTATTAACAAAGAAACCATGATCTGTTTACCCTGTTGTATCTCTGTTAGTGCCACGTTGCTGCAGCCACTGGGACTGATTTGATTTGGTTTTACAGTCTGCTTTTTTTTATTGTTTCTGTCTTTTAAAGTAATGCGTGCGTTTGGTTGGTTTTTTTTTTTCTTTTCTAAGAGGGAGTTTGAGGAAGCTTTATTCTCTAGTGAAAAATTTATTTTAAAAATCATGGGATGATGAGAAATGAGTAAAGCAACATGGGAACTGAGTGTTGTGACAGGTATGTGAATAGCAGGGCAATATATTGCTGCAGGGCCCTGCTGCATACCATAAATCAGGAGCTGGGTGCAGCTTAAGGACAGTGTTCTTTGCTAAGGGAATTTTCTTAGAACTGATTTCTTTATGGATATGCATCTCCATGTGCAAAGGTGAGAACTGGGTTCATGGCACATACTGAGCCATTTCTGGTTCTGGTATCCTTTGGGCTCAGCTCTGGTTTCACACAGAGTAGAGGGGAGTCCATGGAGTATCACCAGCACAAACCTGGTGGGTAAGGCACTCCAGGCATCAGTCTGCCTGTTCGTGGGACACAGCCTGTGCTTTTTCTCCCATTTTCATTTTGTGCCTTTCATGTGACAGTGTCAGCTGGGATACAGTTCTCTTATCTTTATTTGTGTATTTCCACCAGCACTTCTTAGTGAATCTGTTTAAATGTACAGCCAGGTAAACAACAGGGGATTTGTTACAGCTCCCTTTGCTTGGGCTGGCCGGGACAGCAATTTTGTCACTTACTTAAGCTCTGGTGGTATAACTTTTGAATCAGTTTGTCCATTCTTTTAATTTAATTTCTCTACCAATTAACATTTGAACAGGTATTCCAAAGGCAAATTTGACAATTATTTTGCATAAAGGGATATAATTTGAAATATTATTTTGTCATCTTAAGCAATGCTCCCACCTACAGGTTTCACTTACTTTCTGAAGATGTCATAAAGTGTTTGTGTTTGAATGTTTTGTACAAGTCATGTTTACTTTCTGTTAGTTTTAATTAAATGCATCACCTTAGTTCCCTGCTTTCAAGGGCAGCTGCAAAATAATAAATGACAATTATAATATGCTTCCCTTTGCTTCGTATTGATTATTATTCTTCTGAAAGTTTTCATACTTTGTATTTTTTTGCCAAGAGTTGTGACTTAAAGGCAAGTGCTTTTTGCTCCTCTGGTGTGGTGCTGCCACGTATAAGAAGTTTTTGTTTGTTTGGGGGTTTGTTTGTTTGTTTTTACATTTGGTTTATTTTTGGGGGGTGTTTTGTTGTTTTGTTTTTGGTTTTGTGTTTTTTTTAAACAGGTTTTAAGCCATTTAGAGTTTTGAGGTGTTCTATATGAGGCTGGGATCAGTGGTACCAATACCAGTGAGCAGCAGTAGAATGCGGCCTGGGGACAAATCCAAATGTAAAACTGCTTACTTAGGCTTTAACCATAGAGAAAAACCTCCCGATTCAGGTACAACACCCCATTTACTTGCAGGGGAAAAAAAAAAAAAGGAAGAGTGAAATAAACTTTGTGCATCTGTTTGGACGGGGCCCATCTGGTGAGGATGGGGGAGTTTTGTGAAGATAAAATAGCTGTAGCCCAAGCTGCTGCAGGCTGAGCCTTTTGGAGGAGTTCATTATCTTCTGGTCTCACCAGCATGACTTGGTGGCTTGTTTTTGGGAGTATGTACATGTTAAAACTCCTGTGGTTTAAATTCAGTAGTAGGGGAGTAAGAAAGATAGAGGTTTCTGTGCCAGAGCACAAGTCTTCTAAATAAGTTTATTCATACCGAGAGATACCTTGAACAATCTGTAACCATATAATTTTATTGCCTTTTCTGTACTGGAGTAAACCCCCATGTGAATATTCTCATTTTAAAACAAAGAGCATAAGCAGAGTTTTATATTAGTAGAAATATATATATATATATATGGTTGAATAAAGTATTTAAAGGTATATATATATGGTTGAATAAAATATTTAAAGGTATGAGTGTGTGTAAATGTGTATATATAATAATAGTAAAATAAAAACAGAGCTGTGTGATCATAGAAGAAAACCTTTCAACTGTGACAAAGCCTTACATTGTTAAAACCCAGAGATCTTATTAGACTACTAACCTGGAGAAATAGGATCTTGCCTTTTTTTTTTTTTCTTCTTTGAGAAATAGTCCTGCTTTTAATGTGCTTTATAAACTCCCCCTGAGATTAGTGGGAAATCGTGCATTTGATTTGTAGTAGTCTCAACTTTTGTTTTATATAGGGTGTGTGATATTTAGGGGGAGGGGAAAGAGTTGGCATTAATAAAATATGAACTCATTTGACATTTAGAGAATAGTGGAGTTGGTACATGTAATATTATTGGTTGAGATAATACAGAGATTCAGTCTTAACCTAGTCAGCTGTATTTAGTGTGACTGGGCAGGCTGTTTCAGCTGATAGTGATGTGTCAGAGGTTTTGGTGGAAATTGTTGCTCTGGCCTTTAATAAGACTTTTTACAAAACCATACACAGCTCATGACCACCCAAGTTCCTTTTCACAACTTATTTTTCGAAATAAATAAATAAAACCCCCAGTGCTCTCTGAAACAATCAAGTTACATTTAAATTCTGGTAGTGAAAACATTGAATGAGTGCACTTGCAAGCTGAGCCTTACTTTTGGAGGCGAGGATTGTTTCCTGGGATCGAGGCTCACAACCATCTTACCTTTGTGGAGGTTTAGTCTCCTTTTATCTCACTGACCTGGGGGCTGCTGAAATGCAGCAGGCTCACAGCCCGGTGTGTTAAGGAAAACAAACCTGTTTTTCTTTAGCCAAGAGCAGTAGCCTTTCAGCAGCTGCCCTGGAGCAGCTGAGCTCTCCCTGCAGTGGCCTGGTGGGGATTCCAGCAGAATGCAGGGAGGACAGCTGGAGGGAAGAACCCTTACAACTGTCCCCAAATAAATAGTGCTGCACCCAAGGAGAGGGCCATTAGCTGATTGTGTTTTCTGGTTCCTCTGCCATAGAGCAGTGGAAGCCGAGTGGCAAAGATGCTAATTTTAATCATTGTTATGAAAACTCTTTTACTGGTGCCTGTGCATGTGTCTATATGTCTGTGTGAGTGAAGATCTCTACGATCTTCCTGATTTTTATGTTATTTAGAGTTACTTGTGGAAAAAATCGAAGCATCACATAAGTTTTAAACTTATATTTTACGTGTAAGATGAAAATAAATACTTTTTAGAACCT